GCTCGTTGACTCTGGTGGTATATCCTCGAGAAATTACTAACAATTACCTACAATAGACAATATATTCCGTTAAAAATGTCATCAATTTTTTTTAAAGCATCGCAAAAAAAATGTTTCATAATTTCATTACATGCAAATATAATACATCAGTACACTTAATCTAATATTTATCGAATCGAAATATTTGGAAGATAAAACTTACTGGAACTGGAAGTGCAATTACCAAAACGCCACTAAGGGAACAAACGCCTCCAACAACTTTACCCATGATTGTTGCTGGTACCATGTCACCATAACCAAGAGTTGTCATCTACAAGTATTCGCCATTTTTCATCATTTTAAAAGTCTGTTCATTTTTTGAAAAAAAAAATCTGTCATAATTTTAATGGTGTGTCATAATTTTAATCTGTTATAATTGTTTGTAAAATTTGGTAAATTTAATACGAATTTTTCTTTTTTCGTTTCTTCTTTTACTTTTTTTTTCAATTAAATTAAAATTTTTGATACTTTTGCTGAAAATTTTCTAAGAAATATAAGAATGTATCATAAATTAAATCAAAATTTTTGATACCTTCGCTGAAAATTTTCCAAGAAATATGAGAATGTATCATAAATTAAATTAAAATTTTTAACACCATTCTTACTTTTATTTAGTGCCAGACACTTATTTAATATATGCTTAAATTAAACCAATCCATTTGAATAATGATTTATTAACAACAAATCGGAATTTCTCCTCTTATTATTACTAATTTTCTCACAATTTATATTAAAATAATATAATTCATAAACATCCAAATATTTTTCTTTAAAAAAATAAACTTCTTAATCGATAATACGATTAAATCTTTTAGAAACATTTACAATAAGCTGAAATTTCGAGAAAAATGATTTAAATAATTTTGTGTCTAACAAATAAATTTTCCGATTAAACAACATTAATGATGTGATATTGATTTCATTATTATTATTATCCTCACTAAAGAATGTTGGATCAAATTTCAACGAAAAAAAAAAACAAAAGGAAAGAGATACGAAATATTTGTAACAAACAATGATGTAATGGTTTTTAGAACTTTAAATTTCAATTAATTAACGACAAATTTTATACAAGTAGAAAAAAAAAAAAAAGAAAAACTCACAGTAACAATTGTATACCAGAATGCGGCTGGTATTGAAGTGAATCGGGTATCGTTAACTTTTTTTTCCGCATAATACATTATTGTTGCAAAAATAATTATTGCCATGGCCAGTGAAAATACTAGAAAACCGAGTTCACTGGCGCATGATTTTAACGTGTAACCAAGTATACGTAAACCCTGAGAGTGGCGAGAAAATTTAAATATCCGAAATACCCGCTGAAATAGAAAAAAAAAAGCTTTGTAATATTGTTAATTTGAAAAGACAAAAATGTCAAATACAAAAGTAATTGAATAATTTTTGTCAAATTAATTGACAAATAAACTTAAATTATAAATTTACTTTAATTTCATTTTGAATATATGAAGTTATTAATTGAAAAACCATCAAAATTTGCTAATCATTCTACAATATGCATATATTTCTTAGCATTCTCATAATATTTTATTATGCTTTGTTCCATTTCAATAAAATTATCCATTCGGTCATTTAATCATTTTCCTACAATTACGATAAAGCTTTCAAGTTCAATTTTCATTTTTGAAAATATGCTATTTGCAAAATAAAGTAATTTATTTTTATTTTCCTTTATACCATTCTGAAATGAATCATTTTCACCATCTGTTGTTTATGATGTTTTTTCGCAAGTAAAAAGAGGAAAAAGATGGAAAGCAAGAAAAAATAAGACAATTTTTTAAATTTATTTTAAAGATTTTTTCGTTTTTCTTAGCAAGAATAGATAATATGAGAAACAGAACATCGAAAATTCAAAACAATTTTGATCAGTCCAATCAATTACTTTTAAATTAGCTATTTTTGATTGATTATATGTCATTCATTAAAAATGATGAATGTTGTTAACTTTAACAAAATTTCACATGCCATGAAATAGGAATAAATAAACTATTTTACATGGTTCAACTGAATTATGCTTGTTACTCTTCGCTTATTCTATCCTCACAAAAAATAAAAATAAAAATAAATTTAAACATATTAATAATTGTTAACTATAATTTTTTAACGTGAAACACTAATATTACTTCCAAAATTATATTAATTTTAAAGAACCATCTTAAAAGAATGCTAATTAATAGCGTAAAAAAAAATGTATTTTGATAAAAATGGTAACAATAGTA